AGTAGCTGCAAACCTACGGTTGTGCTGACATCTCTTAACGTGGATGTCAACATTGGACCGCCAACCCAAGATTTGCTCGGTGGTAAATTCGTAACATTTTCAGACGGCGACAAGCGAAGGTAGCCAACGAATCAGCAATTGGCAAGTGTGTACCTTACTCTTCAATTTAGTCTGATTATTTAATAGATTCACCTACTGCCAGTCGCTATTTCGTATGGGGTTCACCGCGCAGTCCAAGCCAAACGTGCAACCCTTCCCGGTCGATTGGATAAAGGAACCGTTAGATACTAAGAGCAGCTTCATGGTGATTACGAAAAACCGTTTCGCGTGGGTCATTTGGGGAACCCCTTCCTGTAGCGCTGGCAAAAGCATTACATTGTGTCGTGCATAGTAAGGTAACCGCTTGTGTACACTAGCCGGTATCTTCGTATCGTAACGTTCATACGAAAAAAGATGCTTTTATATGAACTACGCGAAGTCTTTGTATTGCCACCTTCGAACGAGAAACCGTCGTGGTATTGACTACGCGAAGCCATCGTAGTACTTCGTCTTTATGTAAAGCCGTCAGCTTCACTAAGAACTTCTTTCGTACCTACTACGAAAAGCATTAATTAAGCTTCCTTAATATCAAGAACACCATTCGTGTTTACAAAGAGAAAGCTTCGTAGCTACTAAGAGAAGCCTTAGTTTTGCTTCGTCATTACGAAGATTAGTCTTCATATTTACTAAAAAACCTCAATAGTGCTGCGTAATTACGAAGCACTGCCCTTGTATTTACTAAGAAAAAGCTTCGTATCCACTAAGAAAAACTTTATTGTTGCTTCGTAATTACGAAGAACAGCCTTCGTATTTACTAAGAGAAATCTTAATTTACCTTCCATCTGTCATCTGACTGGTTGCGTACGCCACACGCAATTACCTGCACACCATGAACTATACCGCTAATTGGTGAATAGACACCTTGGTAATCCTCATGTCACCTAGCGGCCAACAATAAGCTTTTACGAAACGAAATCTCAGTTTAAATGCCTAAAACCTTCGTTTAACTTCGTACTCCGCCAGCACATGAATAATTAAGAAAAACGTCATTTACCGTCGTTTTTGCTAGCAGGGATACAAAATCGCTGGAAATCACCTAGAATAACACAGAAAAGCTGTTGGAAATACCCAGGCAACATGGACACAATGTTTCTCGAAAATATTTAAAAATAAAGATTTTGCTTCACACCTGCTCCCAGTCTTCGTTTGACCATTTCCCAAGCAATTTGGACGACACCTGCCGTTTCTTCATTTCTTTGGTCAACTTTGGCTTCCTCAGAGTTCTGCAAGCTCAAAGTCCAGAATCCAAAAGTCGTCTTACAGTTCTGGCACATAGTGCAACACCATGGAGCTCTAACGTCTCTTGTAGCTGTCTGTTAGATGCTTTGCAATTCTATCGGCCTTTCCTAAGCAGTTGTGAGTCGTCTTGCGCTCTAGTTACTGTACTGCGACTACATTTATGAAAACGTTCAGGAAACAGCGGTAAATTCTTCTGTGATTTCTTTCGAAGTTGGCATACAGACGCTGGGCTAAAGCCAGCCTTGGTAACAATTTCTGCTCCTTTGACACCTTTCAACTGTAATATATTCCGAAAGAAAGTTTCGAGACACGGACGAGACGTCCCGGCTACAAACTAACGGCACGTGAGAATAGGCGACCGAGTAACAAACACAGTAGCACGTACGAACCGGCAATCTTGCAATACGCTGATGCTCTAATGAGTCGACCACGAGAACAAGCAAGCTGGACCGAGATAGATGTATTCAACAGCGCGGCATGCGAATAGCTTGGTACACGACAAGCAAGTATATAAACAACGAGTTTGCAACGAACAGGTACTGAGGTTTGGCTTGTGATTCCCTTCATTCATTGTGCGTTCGGTCCGCCAAGCCCTGTAAATAAACTAAAGAGACGTTAGCAATTGCGGTCAATTTAAACAGTACATTGCGGTTTCAACTGCACTACATTGGCTTCCCTTATTATTGCGACACTGTCCCCAGTGCCAGCGCATCTGAAACAAAGGTGAGGCCCCCTCAGCTGTCACTTCTACAATGTGTTCGATTATCGGGAGACAACCGGGTGGCACGATTCTATCTACAGGCGTAGAATTTGAAGACGGTGTCATTGGTTTCAGTTGGTTGTAATGAACGGTCAGTACGTCGGCGTTTGGATCCGTAATGTTTCGTAGCACACACACGGTAGAAGTGCGCACGAACACCATCTCATATGTCCCTGCCATTTCCAAAGGAATTTTCCTGGTACGCCAGCTGGAGGTCTTGGTCGGTGTAGCCAAACATGAGCACCTTTTTGATATTCATGGCCTCGACTTTGACGATCGTAATACTCCTTCTGGCTGGGTTACGCTCTGTTCATATGCTCCTTCAGGCTTTGAAATGCTACGCGGAGTCGCTCACGGGTTATGAGGACATATTCCGACAAAGAGTAAGCCTCAACCAGACAGGGAGGTGATAGTAATTCCAGAGGTAGCGAATCTCACGGCTGCGAGTACGGTGAGCTGGAGCATAGCCGGTTGTAGATTGCACCGAGGCTCGATATGCAAGCATACATTGTGGCAATGCTTCGTCCAACCGATTGGACCGATGGCGTTCGACGAACCTTTGTAGAATAGCCTTGATAGTCCTGCTGGCCCGCTCAACGAGCCCATTTCCTTGTGGATAATGCGGTGTAGTTCGTGTCTTTTTAATGGCTAGCAAGCGACACATTTCTTGCATTATCTGGCTCTCAAAAACCGCGCCCTGATCGGAGTGCAAGGATATGGGTGTGCGGTAACGAGTCACCCACTCGTTGACCATGGTTGAAACTGCATCAGATGCATTTTGGCATCTGCTAGGTATTTCCTCGCACCATTTTGTAAAGTAATCTATCATAACTAGTATGAAGCAGTTCCTGCTCCTTGTTATCGGTAAATGACCAATGATATCTACTTCAG